TGGATGCATGGTTTGATTCGATGTTAAAGTTTTTTAAAAGATACAGCCTTTATCTTTTAAACCCCATACTTAAAAAATTTTTAAGATTTTTTTTAAGGCAGAAACAAATTCTAGAAAACATTGTCAAAAAACATAAAAGTATACAGCTGCGGTCAAAATGGTAGTAGTGTTGCCGCCCTGTGTATTTAAAAGTTTGTTGTTGTAATTGATCTTTTCCTGGTAATATTGTATTGATTATAATTTTACTATTAGACTAATTGGATAAGAAAAAATTACGACATCAAACTTTTAAAAACACAAGGCGGCAATACTGCTACTATTTTGACCGCAGCTGTATGTTTTTCAGTTTTTTGACTATGTTTTTTGGAATTTATTTCTGCCTTAAAAAAAATCATAAAATTATTTTATGTATGGTGTTTGAAAGATAAAGGGTGTATCTTTTAAAAAACTTTAACTTCGAACCAAGCCATGCATCCATTTGCCTCTGAGAGCTCCGCAAAGTTGGTCAATTTCAGCATTTTTCGAACTTTGAGGTCCTTTTGCTAAGAATCCTTGCGTCGGGGAACTCTTTGGAAAACGCAGTTTAACTTGGGAATTCGTAACGAATCCAAAAATATAGCATTCATCGAGGTTAATTTTTGATGCTGCATAGTGTTATACATTAAAAGTATTATAGTTTTCTTAATTTATATTATTATTTATACATTAAAAGTATTATAGTTTTCTTAATTTATATTATTATTTATACATTAAAAGTATTATTGTTTTCTTAAAAAAAAATAAATTCATTAAAAATATTAAAGTTTCTTTAAATAAAACGTGATTTATATTCTTTACGAATTCAAATTGAATTAGTACTGTTATTCTTAGGTATTTAAAGTTAATCTCAGTGCACCTGCTCGTGGGAGGTTTTAGAATGTTAATTTTGCATGAACCCTCGGAGGGTTTGGGTTTGGCTGCTTTTTTGCTGACCACTTGACAAAATTTGGGGCTCCCTGCCTGAAAAAAGGGGGCGTGGAAAAGTGAAAAGCAGTTCGAAGTTTATGTGCCTACGTGTCGGCCATAGTTAATTTATTATCCATGGCATTCGGGGTCCCATTTTATTTATCCACCCACTTTAAAACATTACGCCTGTCTTCTTTGGCAGCTTTAATCAATTGCTGGCAAAAGCTTTTTATCTGTGCTGTCAGGCGAAAGAAGCAAATTATGACAAAATGTAAGCATAAAATGGGAAAGAAAGTCAGGGTGAAGAGAAAATATTACCCTGACCCTGAAGAGATTTGTGTTACAAATGCTGTTTTATTAAGCCACCGACTATATAAATACCCAGGCCATCATGATGACACTGTCACTAGCAGAATACCGTGTGTCATTAATCTCCCTTTCCACCTGAAAATTGGCCCCATCTCATCGCATCTTATGGCACCTAAATCTAAATCCGAGTCTTAGTCCTTGCCTCTGATTGATGGCCATCCATTTGCAGAGCTGTTTTCGCTTGGCATTATATAGACGCATAAATCACATAGTCTGGTGCGTTCGTGCATGCAATTTGCATTTAATTTTTAGTTGAGCCTCCCTCGAATGATGAAATCTAGTTTTCGGGGGCGATTATTTGTCTGAGTCAGCTGGAAATCGGATCGAATGTCGTCGGATCGTCGCCGGGCGATAAAGTGGGTGACAAATTGAATGATATTTCCAGGGGATACAAGGATTCAAGGAACCGGACTTTTGCCTAATTAAGTTGCCCATCTAATTTCAGACAGACAGAAAGACAGACGGACGACCAAGGCATTAGCACTTCTCTTCACATATCATCATCAGGACTCCTCGCAGGACTTCGCTGGGTTGGCAGGACTTGCCAGGACTTGCGCCAAATGTCATCAACACTAATGGAATAATTTGAAATCTACTTAGCTCGAAGGCAAGGACAATGGGTGGTCGAATTTCCCGCTCTTTCTGGGAAGTTTTTCTCCCCCACCAACCAAACATCTATCTTCCCTGCGTTTGTTGATAATAACATTATTTATGTTGTTTTAATTATTTTACGCATTTTACCACAGAGAAATTACAATGAACTCGAAATGGGCGTGGTCGGTGGCCAGGATTCCTTGCCCTTTGCCTTTGGCCCCCACAGCTTTTGTAGTAGTTGTAATTAAGGACGTTGAGGGCTAATTGAATTATGCGAGTGATGTGAGTGGCACAGGGTGTCCTGTCCATTAACTTGTACAAATTGCCAAGGACTGCAAGTTCGAAAGGCTTAAAGACAAACATGTTTTCGCACTTAGGAGATTTGTTGACAGAGCCGAGAAAATTTGCTTCCAAGTTTTAATGTAGTTTATGGTGATTTCGTCCAAGAAAATATCATTCAGCCTTCGGGGGCTGATAAATTGTGTACTTTACTTGGGGTTCCTTACTATTTGACACCCTATATATGTAAGTATGTGTATGCCCTATCATTCAATCGACAAAGTAAATATTGCATTATTTCGTATTTATACTAATCGCAATTTTACTACTGCCGATAAACGTGACAAACTTTCATAATTCTTGGCAAAACAAAAATAAGTAAATATTTACCCAAAAGCCCGAAATGAAAGCTACACATAAAAGCGAGAGAGAGCTCGCATAAATTGATTCATTTTGTTTGCTAATTATAGCGAACGATAGCCCAAGGAAAAATAGATGGCCAAGGAAAAATAGTTCGAAGGAGTGGAGAAGCCAATTAACTTTGAGCCAAGTCCAAGTTTGTTTTGTAGAAATTGGTAAAACAATCATTAAAGCAGATTATTGTAATTGGGAAAGTGTAACGAAGACGAGGTCAAAGCGATTCTTGATTAGAGGTAAGAATGAGTACAATGAGTTTAATCAATACAATCGAAATCGGGATTAGCTAAACAGGCTATGAAGAAATTAAATTTGGATTTAAATTTATTGGGGAATTATTTCAATTGATTTCACAATTTAATTTGCGATTAAATTAGCTTAAAAATATTGGGTTTTTCTTTAATTTATTTAATCTACACTTTATTTTAATTATCTTAACACCCAACAATATATATATACATAGTTTATTTCAAATATTTATTGATTAAGGAATGATAAATTAAAAGGTATTAAATGATTTCTATCATTGTCATTGTTTCCTTAGGATTCGATTAAGCAGTTTTTTTCCGGATAAAACAATATTATATATATATATATATATATTTTCAAGTAATATCCAATTGCATTTTCGCTTGAATTACTATAAGTGATGCGAAAAATATTTTTACTAAACTTTACTTTTATTATATATTCCACGTTTATTTATAAAAAAAAATAAGAAAATTAAAAAAGTACGTCTTTTATTTATTTTACTGTTTTCATATGATTTAAATATCCTTATCGTTATCTATTTAAATTTTATTGAATGTGTCTATCAGTTTTAATTCAAGTACATACTTCTACTTTGATTAAAGAAGCTCATGTTCAATAACCTGTTTACAAATTTGTTCCCTTACGATAAGCGTGCTTGGGATTCCTTTGACATGCGAATATCGTGCACATTTCCCTTAATTATGCGCCGGCAACCGATTCGAGCCGATTGCACTTTATCGGAATGAAGCACGCACTCGAAAAGGTCATCAGCCGTCATCGATGGATCGGATCCGGATCCTTGGACTAGTTTATGACCCAATTATGCCAAAGTGTCTGGCAGTTGGCGATGCGTTTTCGCGCTATTGTAAGACCGCCGAAGCCGCCGCCTCCTCTGCCTCCGCCACTTCAGAGCCCCCTTAGATATCGGGGCTGTAACCATGATTTGTTTGCTTGACTTGGCTGACACGAAGCCAGAAGCCAAATGGCACACGCACACACAGGCTGATGAAGCCAGCCCCTTTGTTCGGAAAACTTTGCTCCGTGTACTGGGAAAACAACTATGCAGGAGCGACGCAATTTTAAGTGATTTAAGAGCGATTTGCTTTTAAAGCGTTTATCCAGAAAATATATATTTTAGTAATGTCCACAATCATCAAGGATGCCATTAAAATAACAAGAGTTTGTAAATCACTTAAAATAGAGTCTAAAAGTAGGCAACAATATTTGTAGGTATTTTTTTACTGCATATTCTAAGCCTTTTCTAAGGGATTCTAAAGGTATGCAGTGGATACAAAACCGCAAGAATTGTTGCCTACTTTTAGACTTCATAGTAAATGATATAAAATCTGTTCTTAAATTGTTAATAAAATAAAATTGTTGCATTACCATATATAAAAAATTTTAAATAAACCTCTAAAACTGAATTTAGAAATTAATGCTTTAATATCCCAAATCCAACTGCGAATATTCTTTCCACTTAAATGTTATTTAAATTCTCATAACTGAATTTTAGTTTAAAAAGGAAATAATCTAGATCAAACATTCTAAAAACCTCTTAACGACGCATGTCCATCACAAATAACATTCCCATTTTTGATAATAATTTTTCGTTCTCTGCATAGCATAGTTTTATTGCTTTGCGATTTGATTGCTGCAATTGCTTGGCAATAAATAAATGAGAGAGGCGTTTGCAGTTCCAGAATTTGCTGTCTATTACGTGCCTGGCAAGAAGGTAGTTAGACCTCCCCGTTCACATTGAAATGTAATTTAAATGGATTCCGTAGCCCCGTTTTACGTGTTGGGTCACTGCGGCGGTGGTGACATTTATGCTATTGCTATTTAAAAGCTGTTATTTGCGCCTCCGGCTGCGGGAAAATTCGTGGAAATCGAGGAGAGAGCGGAAAACCCTTTGGCTTTTGGCCGACTGCCAGCCAGCAGTCGGTTTATTCTGTCATAAAGGCGACTATTACGGCGACACTTGATGTCGTCCTGGATCCTGGATCGTCGACGAAATATCCTATAATCAGCAGCAACGGCAACTAATGGCAGCACTTAGGGCTCCTCGGCCGGGACCTTCTGGCCGGACTCTCATGAAACTGTGATGAGAACGAGAATGAGAACCAGGTCGAAATGATTTTGGCACAATGTTAAATTCATTGGACACATTGCCGTCCTTTAATGGCCATTTGCTGTTGCCAAATGTTGCGGATCCCGATGACTCGGCTTCATTAAGGTGTCCTTTTTCTTCGTTTTCTGGCCAGGGATCATTTTATTTCATTGGTATATTTTATATTTATTAAAATATGTATAAATATATCTTTCAATGATTTCTTCTGATTTTATTTTAGTTTTTAATTAATAAATTAGTAAACCTAACATCAGCCTAATATGCGCACATGCCCCAACGGAGGAAAAGGATGATGCCACCAAGGACGCTTTCTATGCGGAGCTCGACCGAGCTTATGGCCGCTGTCCTTCCCATGACATTAGAATTCTCATCGGCGATTTTAATGCCAAGGTAGGACGAGAAGACATCTTTGGTGCCACCGTCGGGCGATTTAGTCTACATGAGGCCACCTCGAGCAATGGTCTCAGATTAATAGGCTTTGCAGCTGCGCATAATATGGTAGTTCGTAGTACTGGATTCCGTCATTTGGACATCCATAAGGCATCTTGGCTCTCTCCCGATCGACTGACCAGAAATCAGATTGATCATGTTGTGATCGATGCAAGGCACACATCTAGTATACTCGACGTGCGATCCTGTCGGGGCCCCAACATCGACTCCGACCATTATCTTGTTGCAGCTAAGATTCGCACACGGCTATGTGTGGCGAAGATAACACGTCGAAGTGCGTTAAGAAGGCTGGACATCGGAAAGCTGCAATCACAACAGGCGAAGGATGCATTCTCCACTCACGTCTCGGGGCTATTAAGCCGAGCACCTTTAATACCTGAAGACATAAGCGATATGTGGGCGCTCATATCCCACTCCCTGCGAGCTTCGGCAGAAGAAGTGCTTGGATTCCAGCGTCTTCTAACAAGGAATCCATGGTACGATCAGGAGTGTCATGACGCAACAGCTGCAAAGGACGCCGCCTACAGAAGAACACTGCAGGCTGGGGCGACACGAGCTATTGTGGATGTCTACAGGTCGAGAAGAAGAGACGAAAAACGCCTTTTCAGACGCAAGAAGAAAGAGCAGGAAAGGCGAGAGTGTGAGTGCATAGAGAGCAGCAGATGCAGGAATGAAGCACGTAACTTTTACCAGAGGGTCAAGCGTCTGACCCAAGGATTTAGGACTGGTGGAGTGGCGTGCAGGGACGATGATGGAAATCTTGTCACAGAAGCAGAGGTCGTGCTGAGGTTATGGAGGGATCACTTCTCGAGTCTGTTATCCGGCTCAAGCACAGACTCTGAAGACTATGATCCACGAACCCCTATCTATGGCACTGATATTGAGGTGCCAATCCCAAGTCATATCGAAGTCAAGGATGCAATCCAACGGCTTAAAAACAACAAGTCTGCAGGTGCTGACGGCCTGCCGGCAGAATTGTTTAAGGCAGCTGGTGATATGTTGGTAGGGAGCATGCACCAACTAATCAGCAAGATATGGCTCACGGAGAGCATGCCCGAAGATTGGAACCTCAGCATGATCTGTCCCATCCTGAAGAAGGGTGATGCCACGGTGCGCACCAACTACCGCGGAATTAGTCTTCTTCCAGTTGCATACAAGGTCCTAACGAGCGTATTGTGTAAAAGACTGAAACCCCATGCTGAAGCACTGATTGGACCTTATCAGTGCGGGTTCAGGCCTGGCAAGTCCACTGTTGACCAGATTTTCACCTTGCGCCAAATCCTGGAGAAGTCCTACGAAAACCAGATCGACACGTACCATCTTTTTGTCGACTATAAGGCCGCATTTGATAGCCCCCGGCGAGATCGCCTATATGCCGCCATGTCTGAGCTTGGAATACCAGCAAAGCTGACTAGACTTTGCAGAATGACATTGAGCAACACCATCAGCTCTGTCAAGGTAGGAAGTGGCCAATCCGAAACCTTTACTACCAAGTGTGGCCTCAGACAAGGTGACTCGCTGTCTTGTATGCTCTTCAATATTCTAATGGAGAGTATTATAAGAAAGGCTGGTGTGCATCGGACGGGCACGATATTAACCAACAGATGTGTCCAGCTCCTTGGTTACGCTGATGATATTGATATTATTGGCCGCACCAAGCGTGATGTCACAGGAGCCTTCGGGGCTATTGAAAAGGAATCAGCCAAAGTAGGACTAGCAGTGAATAGGGAGAAAACAAAGTTTATGGTGTGCTCTAGCAGAGAATCGCGGCGTCTTGATTCTCAGCTGACTGCAGAGAACTATAGCTTTGGGTCCGTCAAGGAGTTCGTCTACCTAGGCACTGCTATAACAAGCACAAATGATGTCAGTCTGGAGATTAAGCGGAGAATAACACTTGCCAACAGGTGTTACTTTGGGCTCAGTAGGCAGTTCAATAGTAGAGCTCTCTCTCGACGCACAAAAACCACACTCTACAAGACGCTCATTCTTCCAGTACTTCTATATGGTGCGGAGTGCTGGACAGTGACGCAGTCAGATGCAGCTGCTCTTGGAGTGTTCGAGAGAAAAATTCTTCGCAAAATCTTTGGTCCAATCTGCGTGGATGATGTTTATCGCCTCAGATACAACCACGAGCTGTATGAGCTGTACGGTGATGTTGATGTAGCCAGCCGAGTGAAATCTCAAAGACTTCGCTGGCTGGGCCACATTGCCCGTATGGATGAAGACGCTCCGGCTCGAAAGGTGTTTGATGCGGTGATTGTTGGGACACGAAGGAGAGGACGACCCCGAACGCGTTGGCAAGATCAGGTGATGGAAACCCTGTCCACACTTGGTGTTACCAACTGGCGAAGGCGCGCCCAGGACAGAGACGCGTGGAGGCACATTGCGCTTCAGGCCGAGACCCGATAAAAGGGTTGTTATGGCCATATAATAATAATAATAATAACCTAACTTTTTTATTTGTTTCTAAAAACGTTTTTTATTTAAATTATCCAACGAACAATAACAAATTGGATTTAATTTAGTTTGCAGTTGGTAGGACTATTTTATTTATTTTTTTTTATTTATTTTGGAAAAAAATATTTTTTTTTTAAAAAAATTTTAAAAAAAAAGGAAAAAACAAAAAAAAAAAAAAAAAAAAAAAAAAAAAAAACAGTTGGTAGGACTATTTTTTTTTTTTTTTTTTTTTTTTTTGGGGAAAAAAATTTTTTTTTTAAAAAAAATTAAAAAAAAAAGAAAAAAAACAAAAAAAAAAAAAAAAAAAAAAAAAAAAAAAAAAAACACCACAAAAAAAAAAAAAAAAAACAAAAAAAAAAAAAAAAAAAAAAAAAAAGGAAGATTTAAAAAAAAAAAAAAAAAAAATTTTTAAAAAAAAAAAAAAAAAAAATAAAATTTTTTTTTTTTTTTTTTTTTTTTTTTTTTTTTTTTATTTTTTTTTTTTTTTTTTTTTTTTCTCCTTTTCTCTTCCAAATTAAAAAAAAAAAAAAAAATTTTTTTTTTTTTTTTTTTTTTTGTTTTTTTTTTTTTGTTTACCAACTTAAATGGCGAATATTTGGCTTTTTGCTTTGTTCAAATGTTAATATAATTTTTTTTTTTTTTTTTTTTTTTTTTGTTTGTGTTGTGTTCGAGTCGAGAGTTGGTGATGTTGTAAAGCGCCTCAAGTGTTTCGCCACCAACATTTTTGTCACAATTTTTGTTGTTCTTGTCTGGGCGGGCAAAACTTTCTACTCTTTTTTGGTGTTGTTAATAAATTGTCGGTTGAAAAGTCCGAAACAGGAGTCAACTTTTCTATGACTGTGTTTTTTGGATATATATGTATAAAATGAACGTGGCTCGAGGCAATTGCGTGGGTGGGAAAGTACACCGTTGCAGTTCAAGTTTTCTGAATGCTTTTCACTGTCGTCATGGTACTAGATATTTTTTGAAGTAAGACACTTTTCAACTAAATATGTAATGGAAGGAGAACTTTTAAGGGATTTAGTATTTCAATTTATCTGTCATTCAGAAACAAAGTTGGAATAAAGTTTTGTTTAAATGGTTTTCATCGTTCATATGTATGAGGTTTTTAATGTGTTTTCAGCAAATATTACAAATATTTTTTCCATTAAATATTTATGGAATCATGTTCTGAATTTAATGTTTCAATTGTTTTGGCCATCTTAAACGTTTTTTCCCCTTGGCAAGACTGAAAGTAATTTTAATGTAATTGGCATTACGTGAGGGGGATTTGTTTTGGTATTTTTGGCATATCATTTTCATACAAATCTGATGCCAAGCACAACCCATAACCACCCATAACGGGAATACAAATACCACCCCTCCAATCACGGCGAACGAGCATAAAAAATAAGCATTGCCTACAACTAGGCGCCCACAAAATACACACCCACACACCAAAAGCGATGTCAAGGCAGGTCAACTTTGGGAAAAAGGAGAAAAACCCCAAACAAAAAAATATATGTATAAGTAGAAGAGGGATGGGAAAACAATCGAAATCAGCAGCCCCCTTATCACAAATCAACTCAAATTACGAACTCAAACACGCAAAAAAAATGAAAGCCGAAAAGGAAATATTTGTGCGTGCATAAAACAAAGGCGAAAACAACAGCACCTACACACATACGAAAATAAATGAAATTCAATCGGAAAAGCCGAGGAAAATCTCTACAAAATTTGACTGCGCAAATAAAGTAATATAGAGTCAATAAGGCAAATCGTCAGACTTGATTTGGATCATTATTACGCATACGCCGCGTTATGCAAATCAGACAATTTTCTGCTTTTCTCGCTTTACTCTGGGGTAAAAACAGCACTGTTGAACTGGATATAATTTATAATTTATAGAGGAGGAAATTGTGGACGCAAAAAAGCAGGAGAACCAAAGTGTCCTATCAACTTTGACGAGGCAGTTTCCACCAAGTTGGCAAAGTTTTAACTGATTTTTGATTAAAATCTTATCCCATTACGGCGGCAGGAAGTAAAAGTAAACCAAAAGCTGAAACTTTGTTCAAAATCTCTCCCGTCAAAGTCATCCGCAAAAGTCTAACATATTGAGTGTCATGGAGAACCTTTAATTAAATTTTATTTATTTGTTGTTTCAGCAAATTGACAGATGACTTTGTTTTTCGTTTTTGATTAGTTTTTCGGTAGGTTGTGAATGGGGGCTGCGAAAATCTCTGTGCTTTCCATTCAGAAAATAAAAAACATATATACTCTTTGCAAGCACACAATTTTAGCAACGCAAATCTATTCCAGGAAATTTGTATTTTGTTTACTTTGCGGAAAAGCTTGTTTTTTGGCATTCAAAAATATTCACAGATTTGCAGAAAAAAATACAATGGCAGCGCAAAGCTCCATGTTTTTTGTGTTAATACAGTGCAAAGATATAAAATATATTTTGTATGCGTTAGGGGCTTATTTTTGTAGATCTGCTGGCTGCCATGGTAATGTTTAACAACTATTTTAAGCGGGGATTTATGTATTGGTTATTAGGAAACATGTTTTTCGGAGTAAAAGGAAAGATTTCTTTATAAACGTGGGCTGCTTTTTTTTAAAACATGGGTAGCATTTTTTAAAGCTCTGTAGCATTTTAATTATTATGAAAAATCAATGAAATATTATATTTCAGATCTTCTCAAGCACCAAAAGCACTTGCACTTAAAAGTAAGCCAAGACATTTTGTTGCTTATTGAAGTTTGTTTGCCCAAGGCTTTGTTTTCCTATTCCAGCCACTTTATTTTGTTCCATTCCATTTTCAAATTTTCTTTTATGTTTTCCGATGTCACGTGCAAGCGGTCAGCTCTTATATTTGCCTAGTGCCATTTTGTGATTGTTTGCATTGTTTCAGGACCAGGACAAAGTCACTTTTTGTGCGCCTCTGTTTGGCTTTCTTTATCTTTCGTTGATAGAGAACTCACTTGGACTTGACTACCACGAACCAAAGGGGACAATGGACTGCCAAAGGGATGGCCAAAGGAAATCCTTGAAGGGTTTTGGTTCGGTGTGCTATGAGTGCTGCGTGGGAGCAACTTAAGGACCTGAACCCTTGGCAGCCGCCTCCTTTTGTCGAAAATCTGAACTTCCACTTGAAGAGCAAGTGTTAAACAGAGAAATGCTTCAACACTCCATTAATTTTTCCACTGAAAAATTGACAAAAAAAATATAGGGAGTAGCAGAAGGAAGCAGCAATCTCGTTGCCCAATTGACTAGACTGGCATTAAGCCGGATAAATTCCCTGAAAATCTGTGGAAATTGCGTTTCAACTTTACTGCAATTGTATGATAAGCGTTCAATTACTCTCAAAGTCGAAGAGCTCTTGAGTCTTGAGTCGAGCATCTCCAGGGAGTAGCTTTAAGTTTTCCCAAAAATTTATGAGAGCCACTTGATCAGGATTTTGAAGTCCTTTCGCCCGACAACAAGCAATCCCAATTTCCCATTTAATTATTTACAAATAAAAAGCACTCGAGAGTCCCCGAGTAGATTGCGATACTTATTTATAGCACTGCGCACATAGGTTGGGTTATTTATTGTCGCACAAATAATTCAACGGGTTGACACTTACTGCAGAACTAGAGCCCAAAGTGTTGGTCCAGCGCCGATTTATGCAAATTATTCAACAGCTGTTGCGCAAATATTTTCGTTTACTTAATGCATTATTATCGGTTGAATCGCATCACGATTTTAATTTACATTTTGATGTATTATTATGGAATTTATTTGGGTTCTTTGGTTTGATTTATTTTTAAATATTTCACACATTACTGTTTATTATTTTAAAATAATTTTTTTTAATTTTTTTTTAGGGAAGTAACATAAGTAGGGAAATTATGGGAAGAGTTTGCTGTTGTCTGTCAATTAGAGCGAAGAAAGTTGTATAAATATTTGCAAAATATTTCCTGAAATAATTGTTTTATATTCTCTTAACTATGGTATAAAATTATTATTTTAAAATTTTAACAAAGATGAAACCCATTAACAAATAATTATAATTTTAGAACTCTTAAATGAAAAATAAGAGTCTTTATACTCGGTCGAAAAACTTAATTTCACTGTACTATAGGTTTATTTAATTAATACTTATTTATTGGCAGAATTATTTTAAAGTATTTTAAATTTTGTTGCGATTAATTCTTTTTGGTTAATGCACTTTGATTTATTAAAAGGTACACATAATATTTCTAAAAATGTTTGTTTGGTATTTTACCAAATGCCCACAAATGTTAAAAATAATTTTAAAATCTTGTAAAAATCACATTGTTTTAAATAAAATGTTTAATCCGATAAGAATTTTTAAAATATTTTTAAACACACCGTAAGTGATTCAAAACTTCTTTGATTTTTTTGAAAACAATTTATACTGCTTTAAATCAGATAAATCACTAGAAATCAGCTAGTAACGCAGCCGCAGCGCACGGAACGCAAAACGCAACTGACACGAGTGCATGGTAAGTCAACAAATCCACAGTTCAGTTCAGGATGGTTCGGTTCGGGGATATATGTGAATTATTTCGGAGGGACCGAAGCGACGACGATGCGAACGGCACCGAGAGGCGATGAAGACTGTGCGCGAATGGCGGGCCAGAATCCGCAGTTTCGTTTTTCGGTTAACTGCCAGTTACTGCTGCGTTGCCAACTGCTTCCTGTGGATTTTGTCTTCACATTCCACATGCAAACACACTCGGCAAAGTCAACAAACACAATTGAATTCTGCAAAGGGATTCTCTTAAACCGGAAGTGGCTCTCTTAAGTCAGTTTCTTCTGCGCCTGCGTCCACCGGAAACAGCTGTTCTTTGCAGCCCATCAGCTGTTGTGCCAACATTTTTGTTTATGTTTTGATGGCATTTCCTTTTCGCTATTTCTTTCATTCTTTCCTCTTTTTTCTTTCTCAAGGCGAGGGGTTAAGGTCAGGCCGAATTGTGACAACAGATGGCGTTTTTGTAGCCGTCAAGGATACATTTAAAAAAGTAGTAGAAGGATGCGGGTCTCAGGAGCACCGGTAGTAATGGTAATGGCTTCAGCTAATTTATGCACTATGGCCCACGTGGCGTATGCGTAACACTGCCAAGTACCAGTACCAGTAAGTTATAAATCATCGTTTGAGTTAAAGGTGCGAGTAGACAGTAAAGAGTAGTGAGTAGTAGAAAACTTTAATTTATGAATGACGGCTTAAAGAGTTATGGTTGGCTGGCAATTATTGTCTGCTAAGCACGCGTGGCATATGTATAATCCAAAAAATAAATAATCTTGCCTAATAAATCATGGCTTTTAATAATTTACTTTCAAAACAAAGTAGTTCATAGCTTAGACAATGCAAAAATATAAGATGCTAAAAGCAAATGATAATCTCTGACCCAAGTAAATTTATAATATTAAGCAGTTCATTATTTATGTGTCTAGAATTTACATACATCATTATTTCAGTGGAAGAAAAATAAAGTATTTTGGAGATTAAACAGACTTAAATTTATGATGTGCTTTAATGGCTTTCTGTGATGTTTTGTTGTAAATATTTGTAAGAAGTTCCCTTAATCCTCTTAATAATCAGTTTGTACTAAAACTAAATGACTAAAAAATGCCTCTAAATATTAGAAATTAAATGAACGTACATTTTTTAAATATATCAATTTAAATGGGACTAATAATATTAAAATGTGGACTTCTCTGGTATCAAGTATCCCTAAATCCCAAAATTAGTGCTTCTTAAATTAGAAGTGGCACAAATAAAGTCTCTTCTGGTTAAACTAAACCCAAAAACAGCTGCCAATCTGTGGGCTAGGATTGTAGCCTTTTACCTAGCCCCAAATAGCTGGCCATTTGTCAGGCAAACACCCGTAGATTTTAGTGGCGGCTCAGACGCGTCCCAAGCGTCTGTGTGTTTGAATTTATGGCCGGTTCCCTTTATGCAAATGAGGCCAAAGAAAGTGGCCAAGTGAAAGGAGGGGAGACAGAAGAAAGTGTCGCCTGCCATGTTCCAGGCGCATGACAATCACTTTTGCTTTTACTTGTTTAATCCTTTAAGACGTTGTCTGTCGCCCCACAGGCAGTCGTAGTCCTTTTCTTTTTCGTCCTTCGTCTTCGCTCTGCACTCTGCTGTTGATTTTGGCCAAATTGAATTTATAATGCTGGCGAGGGTTACGCCTCTATACGCCTCCGACAATTAGGAACCCAGAATGACAATGCAGGCACTAAAGTTTGCTGGAAAAAATACATATTTAGTTTCCTTTAATTCTTAATAACTTATTTTCATGAAACTTAGAACAGAAATATTTTTCTAAATTTTCCTAGAAACCCTACATTACATTCATATGAACACAGTTGTACAGATATCATGTCTTTTTTGGCCCTAAATTATGTGGCAGACTTCCCTCGTTAGTCTTTCCGGATTTCGAACCCCCAAATGGCCACCGAAAATGCGCAGTAAAATATATATCACAATGTGCCAACGTTTTTCATCTTATTTTTTGGGGGGAGGTTGGATGCTCCAGTTACCTAATAAAGGCAAAAAGTTTTCCCAGCTGCAGGAAGTGCAGGGTGGAAACGGCAACAAACTGCATAATTAGTGAAAAGCTGGGTCAAATGCAAATCACCGAGAAAATGCTGATTTTCCATGGAAAGATGCAGCTGCTGAGGAAGCAATGAATTACTTTGAAATATTAATATAACGATTAGATTTGACGCCTCGGCTTTAATTATGTCTTATGGGAAAGACGTGCTTAATTATTTGATTTTAAATAAAGAAGTGAAACTATTTCTAATTCAATGATTCAGCGTAAATCACTTGATAGCAACCAATTAAAAGCTAATAGAATTCCCATAAAATATTTTTAGCTACATATTTATTGGTTTCCACGAAACACGAATAAAACTTCCATCGCCTGGCATGTTTTTCAATTAAATAAAACAATTTATCGCTGCATATTTCGCGAATATCTGCAGCCATAAATAATGAAACAAATACCAAAATGTAAAAAACAAATAAGTATTTTTGGCTAGCGAAGCGAAAGCGTATGTAAAAGTATAGAAAACCAGCGAACTGCGAAAGGGATCTGCAAAAAATTTGAATATAAACAAAAGAAAAATTGAAGGGATTATTTCGAACTAATTTAATTATGGTTATGATTATCAAGTGGATAAAAATTCGAACACTGATATTTGCGGAAAAATATGTTATGATTTTTTTGCAGCCGTTTATTTAAATCATATTTATTTGCTTACTTATTTAAATCAATTCTATTTGAGAGTGCATTGAATTGCTGTGTGTTATTTTATTCGATTTTTCCGCCGACTCATATTTGTTTAGCTGTTTCGTTTTTCGGTTCTAAACGAGTGTGCATTGTGCTGACAACCTGGCCACAATTTGTTTAGCACGCACATATGTGTATGCCAATCAACGGCCTAAAAAGTAGGTAAGACACAAAATTTAATTCTATTGAATTAATATTGTGTCTAAAAACTATATATAAAATGTTGAAAAATTTGTTGAGTTAATAGATTACCTTTTATTCATACTATTAGTTAATTTCATGAAAATATTTTACTCATTTAATTAAAATATTTTAATAATCTTTAAAGTAGCTTACTTTTTAGATTTATCAGTTCATATATATAATTTATATTTGCTTTAAACAAGTTGTCATTTTGCAGCAAAGGGGAAGAAGTGCATTGTTGTTTACAAACAAAACGTCAGCTGAATGCTAAACATTTTCCCTCAAAAAAAAAAAACAGCATCGATTCGAAATGTGTCAGCCAATATTCCGCCTCGATTTCAAACAGGAATTGGCAATGAAAGTCAACAAATCCCAGGCGATGGTGATTTCGATGGCGATGAGAAAGGGTGAATAACTTTTCACTTTTCACTTTGCAATATTATCTTTTCACTGGTTTATTCAGCATGTTTCACGGAGCCCCCACCGATATTTCAACCTCCGAAAAACAAGAAAAGGACAGAATTCCCCAGCTGTAAACAAAAACCGATATAAAGCGTATAAAATAGAATTGCCGCCCCCTGACAATATCCACAATATCCGACAGGCGAAGCCAAAATAATTTACAATAACAGGCAGCAATAAGTCGTGGCGATTTCGATTTGCATTTTATTCGATGCGTTGGCGTTTACGACGGCCACAAGGATTCCACTTTCCACTTGCTAATTCAAAAATATAGGAAAAGTACCCGGGAAATACCCGGAAAACGGGAAAAACGGAGGCGTGGTGGCACATAAAATTATGGAAAATCTCAAATGTACAAGTTGTCACAGGCAGGCAAAGCCACAGGAATGAGTTACCACGTTTTTCGGAATTAAAAACGCCGCAAAGGCGGGCGCAAACACAAAAGGCAAATATAAACTCGACGGGGGAAAAATTATATAAACAACATAAAGTATAAGGAAACAAAATCCGTCAGTAAATATCCCGGTTGATGGTAGCAACGTGCTGACCCACGTTGCCAAATTTGCTTTAATACGCGGCTACTGAGGATTTAAATTTATTAGATGAGCGGAGGAAACTAATTTATGCGCGAGAGACGACCGCAAGATGGCAGGCGGAAACGGAAGTGGCGCCTACTAGGGAGCCAGGGGGCGTGGCCATGCAGCTGGTAGGGAGTGAGGATAGGACTCCTTCATTTTAGTGGCCGGGTTGTGTCAACAAATTGTGCGGAGTCCGTGGCCACTAAGGCAGAAACTTTAAGAGGAGAAGAAACAGCACGAAATGAGTCTCAGTTAATACACTTAGCAGCGTAACTCATCCGGCTATTTTATAGACGTCTTGAGCTTTTTTTAAAGCTCACAAAATACTATTTTTTTGTGGAAAATTTAGGATTTCTGGGAAAGACTTAAATTTTTTTGGTTTTTCGTCGTAATTTGGACAATTTTTGTATTTTTTTCAGGAAGAAATACTGCATGGTTTTGGTGGAAAATTAAAAAAAAACATGACATTTTTTCCGCTGAACCTTAGCTACTTTTAGTGTCTCCATTGCCAACACTGTCCCTGAAATAGGTTTTTTCGTCCTTGAACAAATTTTCCGCCTTGAGTGTATCTCTTGGCTTAAAAAAACCCAAATGCAGCGCCCGAGGCTGCTGTTCATTTGGTGTAACCAACTCGGATGTTCTTCCTGCTCCGCGTTTGCCTCAAACAAAAGCTCATTAAAGGACCTCATTCTCATCCTCATTTTCGTTTTGGTTTTTCTCGGCAGCTGCTTCGTTTGTCATGTTCCGCTGCTAAGTGAAATGTTGTGTCATTTGCAAGTTGAGTAAGTTAGTTTTTTTGCTCCTCAGTTCCTGGGTTCGAGTTTATTTTAGAGAAAAGTACTGCCTTTTGCACGACTTGTGGCGGATGCGTAAATCGGGTCACGGACATAATAACAATAAACCCGAATTGTTCAGTTGATTAATTCAAACGGGGGAGCTGGGCCAAATTTGCGGTCAGTTCGGTGGCAGTTCCTTCAACTCAACTCGGCTTCGTTATATTTTTTTGTGCGCGTGTCAATGACTTTGGGTTAGTCGTCGTCGTCTGTGGAAATCAATCTGGATGCCATGCGTTCATTGA